TAATGTTTTTAAGTTGTTTAAGATAGTTAATATAGTGAATAATGTTTCAGTTTTTAGTTTGTATAGGTTTGGAGTTGATAGCTGAGTTGAGATTTTTGATTGCAGTTATATTGTCGATATAAATATTTAAAAGAATGTTAGAAGGAACTGTGAATAAGAGGGTAAAAATTGCAATATAATATATTAGAAGTAATAATATAACCTATAATAATATAATAATAGTAATATAATAATAGTAATATAATAATAAAAATCTATTCTATAACAATCTAATAAAGTTTTAAAATTTAAGTAAAAGTATTTTAATAAATATTTATTAGAGTTTATTAATATTTATTAAAATATTTTTATTTAAATTTAAAATAAATATTAAATTTTAGTAAAATATAAAACTATTAGTTACTAATTTATTATTATATTTATTAATTTAGAAATATAGTCAAACTTTAATATAATCATTAAACTGTAAAACAAAAAATTGATAATTATAAAAAGTTGTAAGTATATGAAGATTAAAATTTATATGATTTATATAAGCTAGTAACAAAGAACAGAATAACTATATCAAGAGTGATTATAACAAGATTTGACTATACTTTGAATCATTTTTATCTGTTAAAATATTATTTGCTAAAGTTAAAAAAGTATTTATATATAGTCTAATACAATATCATCATTATATTAATTATTTATATTTTTGTAATATAATAAATTTGTACAACTCTCTTAACTCTTTTATAACAAAAAAAAATTTTTCAAACTTTAAAATATTTTTTTTTTACTAAAACAATATAGAATTTTTAAATTGAAATAGTTTTTTTTTTTTGTATTAAAGTCCTTATTTTTAGAATATGATATTTTTATTTAAGTTTATAGAACACAGATTGTTTTTAGAAGCTTCCTTATATTAGAGATTACAACTAGTTATATATGCACTTTTGATGTCTAATTTAAGTAGTCTGCTTATACATTACTATATTAGATACTATATCTGCAAGCCAGTTAGAGGTCTTGCTTATTTAAACTTTCTGTATATGTAATCTATTTTGTATTATAAAAATATCTTTAAAGCTACACCTATTTAAATTTCTGATACTTATTAGTATTCTTAATACTACTTTATCCTTAACAAAAAACTTACTAGAGCCTTTATGTCTTATATATACTAATCTAGTTTTATGTAACATACTATAGTTATCTAATACTTGTAGTTATAAGAATTAACTATTTAACTACTATGTTATATTATTTCTATCTTAATAAAATATACTAAAATTCTAGTACCTATTTTTTTAGCATTTTTTTTATCATCCTCTACTAGTTAAAACTTAAAACTGACAATCTCTGACCAGACTACCAATTCAGATAGTCTGGTATAGTATATTTTTGTATTTTTTTTCTTTTAGCAAGTCTGGCAACCTAGTTGGTTATATATTCCTCTATACATATTTGATATCTAGTTTAATGACCTGTTTTTATAAAAGTGTTTATAGACTTTAACTAATCCAATAGTATTAACAAAAGTTTATATTATCTTTTTATTTAGAAATTTCCAAGTAAGTTTCTGTTATCTTGATTCTTTAGTTTTTTATACTTGATAGTCTTATATAAATTTGCACTAAAGTTTTATACAATGCCAGTTATACATTCTTCTATATATGTATAATGTTACATTTTACATAAATGCTTTAAGCTTCTAATGTCAGTAGGACTTGACTTGATATACCTAAGTTATAGTTATATGAGGCCAATCAATTGATAAAAGACAGTTATCATAATTAGATATAATTTTAAAATTTTATCATAAATAAGATTTAAATCTTAGACCTGTCACTTTAGAAGATAACAACCCAGTTACTATACTAGAATTACCATTCTTAAAATAGTTTTATATACTAAAAACTGTCTTGTTTATTGGCAAAAAAATTTTTTTCAAAATGAAATTAAACTTGTTAAAATAGATGCTTTAAAAATTATTTGCTTTTTTCTTTTAAATTAATATAAATTAGATTTAATTAAAATTTATATTAATTTTATTAGTAGTTTTTTTTAATGAATTTATATCTACTTTAAATTTTTTTTAACAAGAAAAATCTATAATTCCTTATATTAAAAGTAGACTTCAATATCTTACTAATATATTAAATTAGATATAAAAACTACACATTTTGGTTTTTAAATAAATGAAATTATTATTAGTAATAGGTTTTAACCATTTGAATTTTATCTAATATTTTAAAATACTTTTTCTGTAGCATATTTCAAATTTATAATTCATATTTCTTCACATTCTAAAAGATCATTTTTTTAACTTGTCAAATTTTTAATCTGAGATTTATTTATATAAGTGAAGTTAGTCAAAAAATTTTATAACAATATAAAATTATTTTTGAATTAAGTAATCCATCTAATGATCTATTAAATGAATAGGCAATTTATTACAATTTGGAAGATAATTTAAATATTGAAGAAATTAATTTAAATGAATATTGGTTAAAAATTAGTAGGCATTTATCATTTTTATCACAAATTGCTCTTGATTATATATGGTTACCAATTTTCTTATATAGTGTAGAGTGAAGCTTTTCAAAATACAATTTAATTCTAGATAGTAATCGTCAAAAATAATCAGAAAATTCATTACAAAATTTAAATATGCTATATTTTAATGGTAATATTAGTGATTAAATATTATGTATTTTTTTTCTATTTTTATTTTATTTTTTTTACAATAACGCAAAATGTGCATATTTTTTATATAAATATCACAGAGTTATTTAAATTTTTATTGCATAAAATATGCGGAAAAAGCAAATTCTAATGCACCGAAAGGTGCAGAAAAAGCAAATTTGAATGCATGGAGTCTGCAGAATTCAGACTTATCACAGATGGAATTGGCTAATTATTGCCGCAGAAAATCATCGTCCCTGACCAGAAGTTTGTTGATCACAGGCGTTGGCCAATCAAAATCGAGGATCAATCGCACATTTTTTGTAGTTTAATGAATCCCGCGCGGGATTCATTTCACTACAAAAAATGCACGATTTGCCCATCTCTACTTATTAAAAACTTATTTAAATATTTTATAATACGAATTAAATAATTTAACCTTGCCATTTGCTGCAAAAGCATTTGTTTTATTATAAGCACACACAACGTGCAAAACATAAGATTGCTTTTGACATCATATTCCAGCTAAGAATATACATTTTTCCAACTTGGCCGAAAACTTCTTTGAGGCGAGGTTTTTTTAATACTAATATCCGATAACATATAGTATGATTCAATAATATTGGGAAACGTTTTTTTACATAACGTTCGAATATATTAATAAATGAACAGTTAGAATTTCTATTTGTCTTTATCTTTATTGTTAAACTAAAATATTCGTTCAAACAATGGGCAGTGGTGCAGTAAATGACAAGCGTATATTATATATGTCGTTTTAGCCATGTAACAGCCCATCTCAAAATTTTGCTATAAAACAGTTTTTCGTAATTTTGACAATAAGCAATCTTAAAAATTAGCAAATTAGCTTAATACAGGCATTGATCTTCATAAATAAGGATGCCAATGTTTGATTGGCTAGGTAACGCGTAAAGTATATCAATATAAATTACATATCACTGCATAAAAATATTGCGTGTTGTTAAGTTTCCTTCTTATAATAAACATAATAAAGATGATGGTCGACGACATAAGCGTAAATCCCGAGGAACATTATAAACCCAATACTACTTATCAGTTTACAAATAACGAAGAGTATGTTAAGGTCTTTTTCGTCTAGTTCAAATACCTCAACTTTATTAATTTCTTTCATATTTTAAAAATAGCTTAAATGATTCCAGACTAGCAAATTTAAAAGATGCAACCATATACTTAAATCAACAATTAAATGCTTGCGGTTATCATTCTCCTTTAGACTTTAATAATAATGATGAAAAATCGGCTACCAAGATTGTGGAATGTATATCCGCCTTATTGCAACAGCAACAAAAAGACGCTGCGTATCGTGAAGAAATGCACGATCAGCATCAAAAATTACAAAGTGATTATGAATTGTTGACATTTACCATAGTAAGTTAATTAACTACCTACTTGTTAAAGGTCTTTATTCATTACTATATTGACTTTAATTTCATCCTTAGAAAACTCTAAAAACCAGAGCTGAGTTAAGCGAACGTGAAGTGGATACTTTGAGAGCTAAATTAATGTAACACTTTTACTTTCCATTTTAATCCCATTTTCTTCGAAAAAAATGGTGTCCTATTAATATTTTATTTATTTCAGAAAAATGGATGACCAATTACAGTCTGAATCCGAAAAACATCGGTCAACAAAAGATGAATTGATTAAAACGAAAGCTAATTTGCAAAATGTCAAATCGCAAGCTATGGTAAAAAAAAAAAAACCATTAACAAAAATTTGTCATCAAAATTTACTCAAATTTCACTCAAGAAAATTTTTTAACTTATAGCATGACATTAGAAAACGCGAAACGGAATACACTAGATTTAAAGAAAAAATGCAGAAACTTCTAAACGATAAATATCATTCCACATGTGGACCTCAGGGTGTAAACCTACCACGAAAACAAACAATAAAAAATGCCCATTATGCTGCGCCATTCATTAGTTGTGACGTTGACGCGCCGATTGTATCCTGTGGTTTTGGTCATATAGAAAAAGTATGATATATTATAATTGTTGACTTGTATTTACTATGAATATATTCGTTAATCATTATCTTAAATTGTTTATAAAGAATTCGGAGAAAATTAAGCAAGGCGATGGTGATGCTGATGCTCGTGACAAAGATTTATTATTGGAAAATTCAAAATTACGAAAATTACTTTTCGAAGTTCATAATCAAGTTATCTCGTTTATAAGCTCTCAATCGCAAATGCGTTTTGCATCAATAGATCCGGAATTGGCCAGTTTAAAAGTATGGTTTATTTATATTAATAAATTTAATGAGATTTAATTTCTTCTTTGTACTAACTCATATGCGTGTAACAAAGACTCCTGAATCGTATAATTATAGAGCCGCTCATACTCAACTTCCATTTGAACTTTTTGCTCAGAATTTAGAGGAAGAGGTTAAAGATATTTTATTAGCTCTTAAGTTTGAATGGGATAATCGTCCTGTTGGTGTTATCGATGATTTCCAACAAAAAGATGATGAAATTCGACAAAAAGATGATGAAATTCGACAAAAAGATGATGTGATTCTACAAAAATGTGATATGGTTCGGCAAAAAGATGATTTGATTCGACAAAAAGATGAGGTGATTCGGCAAAAAGATGATGAAATTCAACAGAGAGATGATGTGATTCTACAAAAATGTGATATGATTCGACAAAAAGATGATATGATTCGACAAAAAGATGATGTGATTCGGCAAAAAGACGATGTGATTCTGCAAAAATGTGATGAAATTAAAAAAAAAGAGGAAATGATTTGTAAAAAAAATGATGAAATTCGACAAAGAGATGAAAAGATTCAAACACAGGAGAATGTGATTCGCGAAATTATAATCTGTGCTCGGTTTGCGATCACGTGATAAAGAGCAATGTAAAATTCAATTAAATACAAATTACGCGCACAGACGCTTTTATTTTTTATTTCATTTTTTATCTAAGTTTTTAACGCATAATTTAAGATGCAGTAATTGTTCTAATCCAAAATTTGAACTGCCGTAATACGTATCTTTGTTGATCTCATTACGCGAATTAAGAATTATTCAATTCTTGCTTGTTATTATCAATTTTTAGAATGCAGTCAGGCCTCCATGTAAATTCTCCCTAAATGCACGCTTTGCCATGGTCCCAAGTATATAGAAACATAGCAAAAATTCTCTATAAATGCACACCCTCCCTAAATGAACATTTTTAAAAAATTTTCTATGGTCCCGAGAGGTGTGCAATTATAGAGGTTTGATTGTGTTTTGTTTCTGGATACATGTAATGCTAATCAGAGATGGTAAAATGCTATACGTATAATAAAACTTTTTTGCGTACACTTATTTCTGCAAGTGATACAAACCCCAAAAAGGGAAATTTTTTATTTAGATCACAAGATCAGGTGCAACCTTTGTGTGATGTGAAATTGAAAACATAATACAGTATAACCTCGATATAACGAAGCTCTGGAGCTGGAGGTTTTGCTTCGTTTTATCAAAACTTATTAGTAGTTTCGTTATATCAGGGCTAATTTAAACATAAAAATTAGAAATAATCTTCGTTATCGTTATATCGAGGTTCGTTATATCGAGGCTATACTGTAGAATTTTTGTAAATTTTTTTAAAATTTTTTTTACAAGTTTTTAATAAAAACTAATTAATTGATGATTCGGATAAGATTAGCAAATTACTATATTGGAACAATAGTAAATTTTGAGAATAAGTACAATATAAACTTTTATTATATGCTGGAATCTGAGCGGAGTTTAATTATAAGTAATTTTTTAATTAACAATTTAAGTCGATTAACTGAAAGTTGTAAAGCTTAATATGATGCATCTAATGGTAATTAGATCATCTAAATCAGTTTAGTATATGTTAAGATATTACTAAAAAATACATGAACAATTATATAAAATTTCTCTATTTGTTTACATAAAATTTTATATAATTAGTTAATTCGTAATTCGGGAGTGATTAACAGATCATTATTAAGGATCATTGGGGATAAGTAATATAGTAAATTTATTAGTAATCAATAATCTGAAACCAAAATTTAATTATAAAAGTTTTTTTTTTTTTTTTTTTTTTTTTTTTGGTATTAAGGTGACCTCTTTGGTCTTTTGACTTTTATTAATCACTTATCAGTAT